GTTTAATTCTCAAAATTATAGTGCTGCCTTGAGAATGGGGTATTTGCAAGGAAGATACAAAACAACTTTCGTAATTTTGGAAGGAAAGTTTTTTTCCTTTTTGTTTTTGCATTGTAATCAGGCTAAATAAGGAGGCAGTTTTGTACCAGTAACAAAGGAAAGGGTAAGATAGGTTTACCTTCATCTTGTTAAAATTCATCCTCTGAACAAATTCTTGGTACAGCATTTCATCTTCTTTCATTGAGATCTCATAGTGCACCTCATCTGGGTCCCGCGTGGTGCCATCCCAACCCTCAGGCATGACCTTGAAATCCGGTTTGTATGGCAGGGCTGCTACGTGGAATTCTCTATCATGGGAGTTAAAAAACCTACATGGGCCAAAAGATCGAGAAAAGCTAACTCATATGGTCCGAGTATAAGTGAAAACAGGTTTACATCCCTATAACCCAAAATAATAAAGCCAAAAAAAGTCTTATAATATAATGCTTTTCAGCTGCAAATTGGACAGTTATTCATGATTATGCAAACATATGTTTCATATTCAACCACAAGCAGGAGATACGCCCCTAGTAATAAAAAGCGACAACGAAATCTCGCGCGATAGCCTATCCAGCCGTTTGAGAGGCACATTTTTTATGCAGTGTTTTAATATTTATTCAACAAAATTCAACAAAGTAAAGCGTCTACAGATCTAAGCAAACAAGGTAACAGACAATCACAATTTGTACACAATTTCGTTTAGTAAACCTTTCTTTACAGAGTATAACTTGTTCTTGCTCACAAGAAGCTGAATCACATAATAGAAGGCAGCACGTGAAAGAATCTCAAACAAAACAAATCTAGCACAAGAGTGAAGCGAGTTCATCTAAAGAATAAGGTAATCAACAGACAACTTACATGATATAGTGTTCTTTTATGCTATGTTTTCAAGTGGTGTTTAGGGCTAACCACATAAAGGCAACAAAATGCAGGACTCAAAAGAAAAATCTCATAATACATCAGATAGAGAAAAGTGCACCTCTAGACCCAACCAAGACACTAATCTACTAATGCAATCAATGAATATTTGGACTCATGAGATCAATTCTCATACTATTCCTTCATGATGCATTACGAATCACTATATAAACCAACATTAAAAGCAAATCCACACACCAAATTAGCAAAAACAACATTAAACTACAAAGCTCAATCATCCATTATCTTCCATAGTGGAAGCATCACATTCTGCTTACTCGGGACAAGTATCGAGTAATTGCTCGACAGAGTCATCCAATGGGTGACCGAGTTTCTTCTCCACCTCCTCCTCATCCTCCTTCAGCCACAAAATCGCGTGCACTCGCTGCCTCATGATCCTGTATTCCTTTGCCAGCCTTTCCACTGTGTACTCTTCCGGATTCTCTTTGTGCTTCTTGTACATCTCTGCTTTCTCTGAATCTTTCAAGTACGAACCCCTGGCCCCAGGCTCCCTCGCCTTCGATCAAAATTTTCAATCACTATTAAACGAATTTTGTTTGCAGGACTTATATTTCCCTTTCTTGAATATAAAAATCACTACCATTAGCGGACGAAAAACATTTGAAAATTTGAGATGCATTCAATGTATTATAGTATTCTACAGTCAACACTAAAACACCATATAATTTTATACAAACAAGTATAAAAGGCATAAAAATTTAGGGGGAATATGAGCACATTGCCTGTGATCATGAGACAAATGTATTTTATTATCTCTCGATAAAAATGACTATAGCACATACAAGCAAAATCATCAGAAAAAAAGGCAGAATCGATAAGGAAATACAAGATGATCTTCTTCTTCTTCTTCTTCTTAAACAGTCATCTTGTTCAAAATGTACTACATAAACTAAACAGACCATATCCACAAACAGGCAGGAATAATACAATACAGGGGTAGCTAATTAGTAATAAAATAATTTACCTGCTTCATCAACACAGTCATTTCGTCCATTCTATCATCCCAGCTATCTACGAAAGCCTTCCCCTCACGATTCGCAGCCTCCAATTCGTTCATTCTCTTGACTTCCTCATCAGTCCACCTTGCATTTGAATACCACCCATCCTTGGGCCCACCTGTACCGGGCTTTCTCTGGCCCGCACCCGCACTCACCTGCTGCCCAACTACTTCACCATCAAAGTGTTCCTTCGTGAGCCCAGTGGACCACGATGAGGGGCCCACATCCCATCCAAGCGAGTCAGAGCCTGACGACCCAGTTCCACCAAAATGGGCTGTCCAATCAGACTCCTTTTTTCCGCCTTCATCCTGAGTAGAAAAGGATCTCTGGATAGCAGGGAAAGGGCTGAGGGTGTGTAACTTTGAGGGTTTGATGGAAAGCTGTGTCAATGCACGGAGAAGAACTCGCATTTTTTTTTTCCTCCAGAAAAGAAGCAAAACAGTGCTACTCTCAAGATTCTCCAGCAAAAAGATAATGGCTTTAACCTAGTAGGTCAGGCAGAAGAAGTACATGCCCTGCTGCGAAGAGTACATGTACGCGGAAAAAAAAAACGTGAATAAACAATAAATATGAGCATTTCCTGCACATTCGTTCATAAGAACAAGCATTCTTGTGTTTGAACTTTGAAGAACTTCTGTAACCATAACAAAAGAATCCATTTCCTGTTCTGAAAAATTTTCCAACATAAATATAGAGGTAAAATAACCTATTAACTATTTCCTATTAACAAACCCTTTTCGTGATTTTCCGATTCATTTCAACCAAGCAGCTAAATTTCACACATGCTTAGGAATCATAGCTATCCATCGGATTTAATTCATTGAACCAAACAATGGAAAAGATTGAAAATGGATTCAGAAAATTTCAAAGCTAAAATGAACGAAAAGTGAGAAATCGGAGGTCATAGCGTTGGGGGACCAAAACGTACCGTGGACTAAGACTTGCAGATTTTTCAGCTCCGAGCAAATGAAAGGATCGCTAGGTTTAGGTGCTGACAGCATTTGTGAAATTAGGGGTTCATCTGGGGTTAAATTGTGTCTTTCATGAAACAATCGAGGCAGATATGAAAATTCTTATACTTGCATAACTTGTTTGATATCAAGGGTGTATATGTTTGTGGTTTTGATTTGAATCACATTTTAAGATTTTTTTTTATTTATTTATTAATAATATAGACTTTTGTTTTAAAGATTAATTTTCTGAAATCCTAATCTTAATCATCACAATAATTTCGAACAATCAAGAAATATTTTGCTGGCATAGAAAACCCTAGAACTAGAGCATTTACCAATATACAGTAGTTCCAACAATAACAAACACGAACTTCAATCGAAGCAATTTCACACCCAAACAGAAAACTTCACCCAACGCCAGAGACAATATCCCTTAACCCCAGAGCTCACCTCCATACTCATCCACAAATGCGCGTCAAAAAGGCATTTTATATTTCTTAACAACAAAGTCAACACAAATGGAAGGGAAAAAGTACCGTTCTCACGGTCGGAGATGTGTATGAGTTCCGCAGATGCGCCAGCGATCTGACCTATGGACCCAGATTATAACTCTGCCGAGGGAGATGAAGCTGGAGTGCGATTTGTGTTCTTGGACTAGGGTTCGATTTTGTACGTGCGATCTGAAGATGAAAAAGTCAAAAATTCTATTATATATTGGTAGGGTTGTAATTTGTGTATTAGGAGGGACATCCAAAAAATTATAAAATAAGGCTCAGTTTGGTTGCCCATATTGGGCTTGATATCCTTCATGTTATTATTATATCAACACGTTTAACTTGTTTGGTTCAGATAGAAAAAGCCTATGATATAGCTTTGGGCCCGTTTTTTTCTCCCCATTTCTGCTATTACGTATCCGAGCTTTGGCTTCGGATACCATATCAGTGCGTTTAACGCGGAGGAGGTAAATGTCATAATTACCCCTTCTTATATATTGAAAATGTACGGAGAAAATTGATCGTTGTCATTTCTCCATCCCTCGTTGGAACTTCAGAAAACCCTAGCGAGAGAGAGACCACACAGAGATCTACTCACCCTCATCATCTTCTCCCTCATCCCATCATTTTGAACTTTAGTGACAGTATGCACCGATTGGAGATCTAAATAGAACATCGTTTCCAACTGCTTGTACTCTTACCACGACAATAACCATTAAAATCGATAGGTTTCTCTGAGTATATCTATCTAAGTTTGCATTGAAAATTATGTAAATCTATCCATCTTTCCATCTGCACGAGTTTGCCGTCAACTTTTCTATTATATTCATTTTATTTTTCATTTTTTTCAGGGGTTTCTAAGGCGGACTGTTATTTATGACTGATCGGAGAAGATTGAATTGGGAACCCTTGAGCTTTGCGTTTTCTTGACATATTTTATCCCCTACTGGTTATGTATTCTGTATATTAGATTTAAACATTAAGAATGTTTTCTTTCATTCTTTTTTTTTTTTTTAATTCTATGAGGTGTTGGTTAAATCTTAGATGCATTTTCAGTAATTTAACACTTTAAATTTCTAATTTTATGTCACTATTTCAACAGTGGACTGATTTTAAAGTTGCAGATAATTGGACAACGGGTGACATTTCAGCTTATATGAATCATGCTTTTGGTTTATGACATTAAACTTACACCTCACAAATTCAGCGAGCCTACATCAAAGGTGGAATTAGTGAAAAATTCGTGTAGTTACTCATATATTGTCTACCTGCTAATAAATAGTTTTTTTTTAAAAAAAAATATTCTTTCTTTGACATTTTTTCTGGATCAGTTGTAGATGTGACAAAGAGCAATGATCAATGTATGAAAATGTATCTACATCTTCGAAAAAAGAATTAAAAGAAAAATCAATGTATGAAGATGTATTTCGTATACTTATCCATTTTTTTACAACACATTTTCGATTAAGTGGAATAATACTTGATACTTGATAATTGTAGTATTTGCTATTTTTACTACAAATCTTGGCTGTTGTGTTTTGTACAACAGAATTTGACATTTTTTGAAGATGGGCTTTATATTTTAGACTTCTTGTACTTTTTTTTTCTTATTATTATTGCCACATGATATTCTTCCTATTTTTGGGGTTAAAATTTATTTTTAAAAATTATCATAAATTTAATATTCAATTGAATTATAACTAGTAGTGTGCAAGTTAATGTTTAATAAAAACTTAACTACAAACCCGAAGTAATATTTTGAGGAGAGAGAGGATGAGGCTAATATTGGAAAAGCATATTTTATTACATTTTTGTACAAGTTCAACCAAACAAGTTAATAGCTTAATGGGTTGGATAACAACCACTACCCGTTATTAACCAAACAAGTGTATAAGAGGGATACAATAAGTTGGAAACCTTCCAAAGCCCGGATATGATAATATCATGCACAATACCTAATTTTAACCAAACGCATCCTAAGGGTAAATTGGACTTTAATCTTGCCAGGATTGGTGCAACCCCACCTAAAAACCAGAATTGACTTATCCCGATTTCATGTAATAAAAGCAATTTTCATCCCGGGCCGAGCACACCATCTAGGGTCGAAATCCTATGAAGCAAACATGAGATAAGTGAAGGATAAGCCAAGGTATCCTGGTTAATCCCTCCAAGCAAACATGGCTTTTGGAATAATTTTATCAAATTGGACCAATCATTCTTGTATATCAAATCAACTTTAATTCACTATTCATCCACTCACATAATTTTAACTAATCATCATTTCAAATCACCTCTCTCATACTTTTACATCAAATCAACTTTAATTATTTTATTTTGAATATTATTTTAATACACCCACTAACAACTAACCATACAACTTTTTTCAAAATTAACCAAACTAAATCAAAAAATCAAAACCAGTGTTTTAAATACTGTATCGTACTGGACGGTATTATCGGTAATAGCGGATACCAGTGGTCCACCCGGTACGGTTACATTCAAAATACCGGTTTATACTGGTTTCATATCGCAAAATACTGGTTTTACTGGCCAAAATACCGGTCAAAGTACCAGTTTATGCCAATTATTTAAAAATAATGTTTTTTTAATATATTTTCATTAATTTACATAAATTGAAAGTTCTAACTTAATTTTAATATGTTTACATTGTTATTGGATGTTAATTAATTTTAGTATTAATTAAAGTTAGTTTTTTACAATATTTATATTATAATAACAAATTAATTTAATATTTATTGAAACCGGTAAAATAAACTGTAAAATCAGTTGAACCGCATATTATTGGCTCGTCCGATATAATTGCCGGTATGATATTTAAAACACTGATTTAAACAAATCCAAAAATTTTATATCCAAACATCCTAGAATTTTCGCCGTTTGATGTCCGCCTAAACCATGAAAAGAGCTCGAGAGTCCATATTAGTACTTGATGAGCTCCTTTTGACCAGTGGGCCCATTTAGTGCTGTTGTCCAGGTTTGGAACGTGGCCCGCTCTCCAGTAGTTCTTGGACTAATTTTGTGTCATCGGGATTGATATGTTTTAATTATTTAATTAGTACGATACTCGTTGTTGTTTCATAAAATAATTATATGTATCATAAAAATAAAAAATGTTTACATATTTTATTTAAGTTGGAAAAACAAGTATATAATAATTTATAATAATGAACAAGGACTTTATCGGCATAAGTTATTTTATATTTGATTTAATTTATTAAATAAAGTGAGTTAACTTTAAAAAAATTGATTGAATTTGATTTAAGTTGAATTTTAAATCTATATTTAAATAATATTCTATATATATATATAATGATTAAAGGTGATGCGATGTAAGAGTATGAGATATGTGATTTGAAGTTATGAGTAGTTAAAATTATTTGAGTGGATTAATAGTGAATTCAAGTTGATGAAATATGTGGAGATGATTGGTTGATATTATTTATTTATATCGATAATATTAAAGATAAATTTGAGTTAAAATTTAAATTAAAAAGAAAATTATTTGGTCACTCATACCTGAATATTTTATATTCAATCAGGTCCTAAGTGAATCAACACTATAATTTTAAAATTTAGAATAATTTATATACAACATTATTAGTTTTATTTATAATATATTTATTCAAAACACATCACTGAATAATATGGATGAATTATAATATTTGAAAAGTCATTTAATATGTACATAGTAGAAAGAAGATAATAAATATATTTGTATAGAATGATTTAAATATATTAAATTTACGTGTTTTGGTAATTATCAAATCAAAACATAAGTTATTTGGATTCCAATAAGGCATATCACTAGTCTACAATTCTATTTTCTTTTTTAATTCCAGTTTTTTATGAAATTTGATTCGAATAATGCAGACCTTTTTGCTACTCTTTAAAATTATGTTCATCAGTTATGCTATTTATGTTGAGGTATGATTTAATTCATACACATTTGTTTGCTCATTTTTTTTCAGATAATGTAAAAGAAATTAATGTCTATCCAAGTCTAACTATGAAGTATGTAATATCGTTACATAGAATTTGAAGCGTTTGAGTTTGCCACATAGATTTAGCACATTCAAAAACTATATAAAGTGGCTATTGAAAACGAATAAAATATAGAGATTTGCATGTTCTTATTAAGTTGAAATTCTAAAATACTTTCTAATATTTTAATAATTTTGGTGTACATGTTTGATATTTTAGAAAATCTTAAAAACGCACTAGATATTCTTTTAGAATTTAAAAAGTCGTCACTAGATATTAAATTTATTTAGCACTTCAATATATTTGAAATTTTTAATACTAGCTGGATTTTAATGACAAATTACATAAATAAAATCATACATCAAATTTGACCTCTAGACATAACCACTTGCTTGGAAGAACAACATTTATTCTTGAAATGATGTTATACTACTAAACTCATCATGGCATTGCATTGACAACCTCTACAAATGTAATACATCGTTAATTTAGTGTATTAATTTAATAGTACTAATATTATTTTTATTATGAAAATAACATACCTTTCATTTCAAGAATCGTTTTTATAAAATAAATTCAAAAACGTTTCAATAAAAAAATGGCCCCTAACCTACTACCTAGATCAATAGTTGAGTTTATTTGCTTGGAAAAACAACATTTATTCATGAAATGATGTTAAACTCCTAACCCATCATGGCATGCATTTACTAATAAATAAAATAATTATTTATTAGTGTATTAATTTTACTATGCTAATATATTTTTAATATATCTTTCATTCAAAAATAAAAATAATTAATATGGCCCCTAAGCTAGTACCTACATCAAAATTAAGAAAAATATTATAAGCTAGTACATATATCTTTTGATATGATTAGAAGCAACTTCATCATTAAAAATGTCCTAGTTACTACCAACTTACCCCTCATCAACTAATAAATTGGCTTCAATGTCCAAAACCAACCATAATTCTTCTCCCTCATTTTGTTTCAACGTAAAATGAAGGTTAATGTCTCAATTTTAATTTTTTTTTTTTAAAAAAAACATTTTTTTTAATTGTTAGTCCCAAATTAAGTGAGAATAATTTTACAAATGTTAAGCATGTTGTGCAATATATTTACTTGAGTGTTTTTTTTGTGTATTGTAGTGTTCTAACGTGAATATCTAAAGACGATCTTCGTAATGTGGCGAACCATTTCCGTGGAGTTGACTGGACGGAGCATTAGGAGGATGCATTATATCGCTTGTTTTTTAACAAGTGTCGGGCAATGCCGGAGATGATAAGTCGTCC